TAAAAGCCATCTCTCTTTCCTTGCGTTTGTATGGGAGCACACACGCCTGTCGGCGTGCCGACGTTCAGAATCCCTCCCAACAGCTCTTTCACCTTCTTTTGAGGTGGGGCCTTTTAGTCAATCCCAGAGTTTGCTGATATGGCTAGTCTCTCTAGCCAGCTTGTTCCAAGAGCTTGCCTCACGTTTCAAAGGCCGCCCAGCCTACGCAGCATCTGTGTGGGTTGGGGATCCAAACCCCAGTCTTCAAGTTTGCCTGGAAAGTGCCTTTACCCACTGAGAAATCACGCCAGCCACTGCACTTATCACAACCCGTGTGGTAAAGGCCTGACATCTGAAATACACCAAGAACTCCTATCAGAGAAAAACTAAAAAATGAAGCCAGGCACGGTGGTATAAACCCTTAATCTCAGCACCCAGATCTCTGTGAGGGTGAGGCCAGCCTAATCCACATATTGAGTTCCAGGCCACCCAGGACTTCATAGTGGAACCCTGTCCAAAAAACAAACAAACCAACAAAAATCCCAGAAAAGAAAAAAACAAAAAACAATAACAAAACAAAAACAAAAACAAAAACAAAAAAACATTGAAGATCTAAGTAGTTATTGTTGAGACTTGCTTTAGCTTTTAGCATAGCTGTAGCCATTTTGTCTTTAGTCTCCATCTTGATCATAAGGTGAAATTAAATTCTCAGGCTCTGGCTTTCAATGATTAATATGCTGACACTTTGTAAGGGCAGAATAACCTTTTATAATTGTCATGTCTCTATGATTCCATTTCTCAAACTTTATACACTTTGTTGCCTGGACATTCTGTAAAGTCCCCCAACTTCAGGACCAGTCAAATTAAAGGTTAGTTAGAAATGTTTTGTTTAGCTAGCCCGAATGATGTAATGCTGCCCTCCCCTTACTTCCTTCACCAAGTTACCTGGTGGTTACCTGGTTAGGTTTTTCTTGTAAAAAGCCTGCCTTAGAAGCATACCAGCATCACAGCTTGGCTCCCAAGTCCACTGTGTCCCTGACCATGATCAGTCTTGGGGTGTTGCCTTCAATAAATCATCCATATCTGAATGAGATGGGTGTCTGAGTGGTTTGTGTGGCTTTTCTTGTACTACGACAGTTATGTCACCAATAATATATATATGTACATATATGTGATGACAAATAAGCATACTAAAAATGCTCAACATTGTATCATCAAGGAACTGCAATTTTAATTAACACTGAGACACCACTACGCACCTATTAGAATGGTAAAAATAAAAAAATAGACAGCACCAAGTGCTGACTAGGATGTGGACTAACAGGAACTCTCATTTCTTGCTGGTAGGAATGCAAAATGGTATGGCCACTCTGGGAGAAGTGTGGCTGTGCCTTACAAAGGTTAAAGGCCGTCTCACCATAGAATTCAGCCATTGTCCTACATGTACTTACCCAAATGCATTAAAACCTGTGTCTAGGGCTGGAGAGCTGCTTTAGCTACTGAGAGCAGATACTGTCTTTCCCAAACTCCATCTCCAAGAGGACCTGACACCCTCTTCTGGCCTCTTCATACTCTGTCAGGCTCATGTACAAGCCAGTACACATACACACACACATACACATACACATACACACACACACACACACACACACATACACACACATACACATACACACACACACATACACACACACACACACACAACTGAAATAAAATTTTTGAAAGCTTGTTTCTATACACACAATCTGCATGGGAATGTTTATACCAGCGTTCTTCAAATTTGCTCAGTGATAGAAACAGCCAAGATGTCATTCCATAGGTGAATGGATAAATAAGACACAATCATATATTTAAGTGTTGTTCAGCAATAAAAGGAACTAAATTATCACACAACAGATAGGAAAAAATCAATTGTATATTGCTAAGTGAAAGAAGCCAGTATGCACAGGTTTGACTCTGAGTTTGACTCTGAATATCTGTCTCCTCATATTTTGGGAAATACCAGATCTGGGGCTGGAGAGATGGCTTTGAGGTTAAGAGCACTGGCTACTTTCCAGAGGACCCAAGTTCTACTACCAGCACCTACAAGGTTGGTTTACAACTCTCTATAACCCCAGTCTCAGGGGCTCTGATGCCCCCTTTTGGCCTCCTTGGGAAATGCACACAGGTGGCACAGAGACATACATGCAGGCAAAACAGCTGTACACATAAAAATAAAAGGAAAAAGAAAATTTTCTTCTTCCTTTCTTTATTATTGGTTTTTTTAAAGACAGGGACTCTGTGCATAGCCCTGCCTGTTTGGGAAATCTCAGTGTAGAATGGCCTCAGGCTCACAGAGATCTGCCTGTCTCTGCCTTCTGAGTGCTGGAATTAAAGGTGTGCACAACTATGTCTGGCACAAATTTAAAACCTTAAAAAAAATCTATCAGGGCTTACCAAAGGGGAAGAGGGATGGATAGGTGGAATACAGTGAAATTCTTCTGTATGATATGATAATGGATACATGCCATTGTATATTTACGAAGGACCCTAGAGCCATAAAACATGCCAAGTGCACCTTAGGTGAATAACCAACCTCAGTGGTTATCCAGTAAAAGGGGAACATGTATCATTTCCACATGCCAGTCTCTATGCATGCTTTACAGACCATGTCCTTAAACCCTCTCAAGAAATCCAGTGTAGCCCAGCATGGTGGGTCACACTGGAAATCCCAGTACTAGGAAGGCAGAGATAGGAGAACTAGACTTTAGGATAGCCTGAGCTACCTAGTGAACTCCAGGCCAGCTTGGAATACAGTAAGACCTTTACTCAAAACACACAAACACACACACACACACACACACACACACACACACACACTATCTTCATGAGACAGAGCCTATTTTTAATCCCACATTCAGATAAAACAACTGTGTACTATAACGTGCTTCTTTATTAGTAGTGAAAATGAGGAAGTATCAAGTATCTGCCACAATTCTCAAGTATAAAGTTTTGAGATATTTGCAACAAGTAACAGCTGTCAACAGCGTCTGTGCTCTCCAGTGGCGGCAAACCAGAGTTACTACTAACTCTCCCGTGGCTTTGCCTACTTTCTTCTTGACGGAAATGCTGCTTTTCATCTAGAGGCTAGGGAAGTAATACATTTTTCCAGCGTTCACAGGCTTCCTGAATTCTATCCGTGGAGCCCAGAGAGAGGAAGAGAAAGGAAGGAGGGTCTGATATAGTCCGTCCTTGTGCTTGCACAGAAACCTGAACTGTGCAAGGAGAGTGAGCAGGGGCTGTGCTGTCAGGGTGCAGCATCTCTACAGCAACCGCTGTGCAGAAAGCACCCTCCCTGGAGATGCCTTGGTGGGTCCTTGACCCCTGGGACTTACATGGCGGATGTAGGGAACTGATTCCCATGAGATGTCCTCTGATTTACACATATGCACCGGGATATAAACACGTGTTTATGTGTACATACATATAGTTTGTTTTTTGGTTTTGTTTGTACAAAACAAGGAGTTCCAGGACAGCTAAGGGTACACAGAGAAACCCTGTCTCAAAAGGCTAAAACCAACCAAATAAACCCAAAAAGGTGTGGCATGGTGGCACACACCTTTAACTACAGTGCTGGGGAGGCAGAGGCAGGCAGGTCTTTGAGTTCCAGACCAGCGAGGGCTACACAGCAAAACGCAACTAATTAAGTTAAAAAATAAATCTCATTGAAGATACCCAACAACTCTTAGGTTACTTAGGTCTGCTGGCGTGAGTGTGTGCGTGTGTGTGTGTGTGTGTGTGTGTGTGTGTGTGTGTGTATGTGTGTGTTCCCCAATTAAGGATTACCTATTAGCACAGTCCTGGAGCTGGGAACCAGAGCCTTCCGCATACTGGCATGCCCTCTACACTAAGCTATGCATTAGCACATCAAATTATCTAATTCACTATTATTTGGGGCTTAAGGTCTGAAGCTCAACTTGATCCTGCTGAGAAGGGGTCAGGCATAGATGGACGAGGGAAACTCCAGCCTACTGAGCACTGAGTCACTCAAACTTAACTATTTCAGTTACTGGGAATCACATACCACATGCTAACACGAAGTCAATAACTATTCTCTCTCTCTCTCTCTCTCTCTCTCTCTCTCACCTCTTTATAGAAAATCACACAGCAGATTGAATAAGGAAAAGGGAAGACAAACCATACAAGGAAATGTGGTAACTTTTCCCTTCCTTTGAGCAACCGCATGCTGCTCCCTGAATGCTTTGGTCTCCCTTTGCAACAACTTGGGAGCTTGTACCATTTATAGCAGGTGCTTTCAAGCCCGCCTGGCCATCTGCTTTGGGATACCGTAGCGACGCGACTCTAGGCCAGTCTCCCTTTGTCCTAGCCTGGTCCCGGTGGTCGCTTCGGGGGTGCCTGAGCTGGGCCCGGCAAAGGAACCGAGTTGTTCTCAGCAGGGGTCCAGTCTACCCAAAACCAGCCACCGGAGGAAGGAGACGCCTTTACCTGCCAGCGCCTCTTTTGTCCCCGTGGCGCTTGGACGTCCAGGGCGCTTTTGCAAAGGACCGGTGAAGCGGCGCAAGGGGCTGGGGAAGATCGCTGGGGATGCTCCGCCGTTCCCCCAACAGCCCCGCAGATTTTGTCGTGATCAAGTTCCTGCTTCCGTCGCAGCGACTGAAAGTTTGCAGCGGGGGAAGGGCGCGTCCCTGCCCTGCAACCCGGAGCTACTTCCCAAGCAACGTCCAGCCTGACCGCCCCAGCCCGGACGTGCGAGAGCCCAGGCTCCAGGTCCTCAGCGCTCCGGGCGTCATTACCGCACCCAGCACACTGCCAGCCACTAGGGGTGAGGGTCGGACCCTCGGGGTCACCAAGAGTCTGCAGCTGTGCTCAGGGCTGCCGGGAGGCACTAAAGAGCAAATGCACAGGTGCTGATGGCGAAGTCACACACCCAGGTGTACTCCCGCCCCACGCTAAGGTGCTGATTCTTGTTTTCACTCGCTATCCGGAAGGCCTGGCTGGCTTGGAGTTTTTCACGCATGCAAGGATGACCTTGAACAGCATCCGGATCCTCTTGCCTCTGTCTCCCATGAGCAGGTGTTACAGGGGTACACTACAACATTCGGTCTAAGGACACCTTCTTGGTCAAAGTTCACAGAGCATCCTATTTAGGCACAATTAGGAGAATCCTGTTTCTGTAATTGGAGAACGGTAGGGGTGTCAATCACAGCTGGCGGTTCGCCAGCTAACTCTAAGGCAATCCCAGGAGAAGGCGGTTAGCTTTTCTCAGGATTTACTGCGTTGTTGTTGCTGCTGTGTGATTATTTTGGTTTGTTTTTTCGCTTCTTTGAGACAGGTGCTCAGCAGTCTGGCCTCCACCTCCATATGTAACTGAGTATGAACTTTGAAGTCCTGATCTTCTCGCCGCTACCTCCCAAGTGTAAGGATTACAAGTCCAGTTATGATTTGTTTATGGGTATGGACAATAATGATAAAAGCAACGCTGTCTGTTAACAGTCGTTAAAATGACATCCCTAAACATTATCATTGTTAAAAAGTGTCTAACTAAAATGTGTTTGTTGCCAAATGAATAGAGAGTGATCATGAGTGATAGAAGCAGCTTTAACTAACTGCTCCCTTCATTTCTGACTGCCTACACCCCCCACCCCCAACAAATGAAACCTCACCACAAAAACAGTGATGCAATTTGGTCTAACTTTGAGCAATATCGTCACCTTGGTTGGCATGAAAGAGTTTTCAAACTGTAGTTACAGATGATTCTCTCAGTCCTGTAGAGCCGACCAATGGCTTCGGGAGGTATATGATGCCAGAGGAAGCTTGTGAACAATGGTCCATTGTGTGAAACTCGTGGTAGGTAGAGGTGACCTACTTTCCTGTTATAGTAATGTTGCCACAGCTTGGTCCCAAAGAGTTGCCAAGGAAAACAAGACTCCGGTGTGGATTAATTACTGCACTGGAATAATTTTCCTGCTGCCATAAGATACCATGTAAGCATATTCCGTATCTCTACATGATATGGTGGGAAGTGATGGGAGCTAGGCAGACCCCCATTGTTAGACATTTCAGGTTTCAGGGTATCTACACACCAGCCTGTCTGTAATCCCTGAACTCAAGATTCAAAAGCTAGAAGGTTAACCCATTGTCAGTTGCATAGACTTCATGCAGCCCAGTCTCAGACAAAAGAGAAATGTCCATTTTAGTGTTCTGCTGCAATGGACTTGTTTTATGTCTTCAATTATCTCAATGAACAAAGGTCACTGATGAAAATAATGACTAAGCAAACTTCCTGGAGCTGGACCTGGAGGCTCAGATTTGTGGTCCTAGCTAAAGGTTAAGACGGTAGAATTACAAGTTTAATGCCTGTCTTGGCTACAGAATGAGTTTAAAGCTAACAATTTAGTGAGACCATTTAAAAAAAGAATTAAGAGCTTGAGAAAAGGCTCAGTGGCTAAGAATTCATATTGGCTCTTCCAGAGGACCCAAATTTGGCTCCCAGCACCCACATCAGGCAGCTAACAATCAGCTATTAAACTTTTTTGTTTTTGTTTTTGAGACAGGGTTTCTCTGTATAGCCTGGCTGTCCTGAAACTCGAGCTGTAGACCAGGCTGGCATTGAACTCAGAGATGTAGGAATTAAACTCATAGTGGTGGAATTAAAGACATGCACTGTCACTGCCTGGCTTCTAGTAAACATTTTTTTTTTTTTAAGATTTATTTTTGCAGGGCATGGTGGCACATGCTTCTGATCCCAGCACTAGGGAGGCAGAGGCAGGTGTGAGTTCAAGATCAGCCTGGTCTACATAGTGAGTTCCAGGATAGACATAGTTACGTAGTAAGACCTTGTCTCAAAAAAAAAAGATATAATTTATGTGTGTGAATGTTTGCCTGAATGTATGTATATGTACCACGTGTGACCAGGCCTAGTTCCCTGGAAGGACAGAGGACAGTATTGAGTCCCCTGGACCTAGAATCACAGTGGCTATGTGCCACCTTGTAGGAACTAGACCCAGGTCCTCTGCAAGAATAACAAGTGTTCTTAATCAAGGAATAATCTCTCCATCTCCTAAAAAAATAAAAAAATAAGACTGGTTATATATAGCTCAGTGCTAGAGTACTTTCTTAACAAGTACAAGGCCCTACTTTCAATCTACAGAATAGTAAAAACTGTAAGTATAAACATTTCACAATTCTGTTGCTATGAAACAGATGTTTGAGTTGCAATTAAATCCGTTGCTACTTTATTGCCTGGGTTTTTTAAACAGGCTCTTCTGAAGCATAGCCTGGCCTTGAACACAAGATCTTGCTTCACTAGCCTTCTGAGTGCTGGGATAATGTTACACTCTGCACTGCTTGGTCCCGGAAACCTGACTGGAGTGATGAGAAAATGAAGAAAGGACAGACATACAGACATGTGTACAGAAAAGTTGGGATCTGGTAAGATGTGCTTGCTCTGATGAAGATCACCCAACACAACCACAAGCCAGAAACTTAGTGGTCTGGACTGAAGAGGTAGGCCTGTGGCACACAGGTAACTAAGGAGGCAGAGTGAGCAAATCTTAGTAGAAATTCTCTGTAGGAAGCTCCCAGGCTTGCTGGAGGAGAAAGCTGTGGCTGATAGTTTCTACATACAGTCAGCATTTGAAGTTGGGCCAGAGAAAGGTTTTTTCCATCCCTCTGAGCTTCACCTGGGAAGGCTTTGCTATTCCCATGGGTCTGAGGCACTGGAGGTCCTGGACATGGCTGTGCTCATGTCAACAACACAGTTAACCACCCCTTGCACATTCACTCAGGGCTTCCTCTGATCCCCACAGGATTACAAGTGTGTATTGCTAGGTCTGGCACCTGCAGGGATTACTGATCCTCTCCCCTGAGAGTTAGGATTACCATCTACGTGGATGCACTTAAAAAAATGTTTCATTAGGAAAATATGTGTTAATCCCAGCACTCTGAGAGGGAAGCAAACACATCTCTGTGAGTTGGAGGGCAGCCTGGTCTACAAAGCAAGTTCCAGGACAGCCAATGCTATACAGAGAAACCCTGCCTCAAAAACAATTAGAACAAGACCAAACCCTCACCTTTCCTCACCATTCTAAAAGCTGGACATAATAGCACATACCTACAATTCGGGAGGCTGAGGCAGGAGAATCATCTGACATGGGCTTGTGTAACAAACACTAAGTAAGCCAGGAGGATGTAGAGATCCTGTCTCAAAAACACACAGCACACCAAACCCCAAACAAAACAATTTCTCATTTCTAGTAGATTTCATATTCATACAAAATACCTTTAAAAGCTATTTGCATTATTTTCATTGTGTTGTAAGTGGAGTTGAAGTAAGAGTCAGTTTTGAAACCACAGCCCAAATAATTCCGATTGGTACCACCTGCTAACTTTGGAAATTACGTATTTATTTGCCTCAGAGTTGTGAAAATTAAGTGAGGTGAAATATGGAGCCTATTTGCGTTCCAGCAGAAGAAAGTTAAAAATCATTAGTTCAATTTGGCCCTGCTGGGATTGTATTTATATACAAAATCTTGGGACCTTTTCTTTTTGTGTTGTTTGTTAAGGTAGGGGTCTCATGTAGACCAGACTGGCCTTAAACTCTCCAAGTACCCAAGGAGAACTCTGAAGCCCTGATCCTCTTGCCTCCCCCACCAGTCTGCTCCAGTCTGTGAGCACTGGATTACAGGCTGTTGTACAGAACTATGAGCCAAAGTACTGCCATCTTCGGGATTGAGGCTGGGCCTGTTCACCAGAGATCATCAGAGCTGGGCATGCTGATTACATCCTTTCCTCTCGTAAGGCAAAAGCGGGTGAGGAGGGTCTTAGAACGCTCTCACCTGAGTTTCCAGCCACTCTTCCCCACTCAATCGCAGGTGGCTTTGGGACAGGACGACTGTTCCTGGGTGCGGCTAGGGTATGTAGGTGGAGAGTGAAAGGCAACAACTCCAAACACACAGCTAAAAGGGAGTGATCCTTTAAAGCCACCCATCGTCCCGCCTCACCCATGGCTCTGTAAATAAGCCCAATAAATTCATTGGTTCCTCAGAGTAAATTTAGGTCGTAGTTGGGACTGTAGGAGGAGGGTGTAGATGAGTTTATATTTCCTTTACAGTGTGAACTCCTATCTCAAAAAACAAAGACTCAGCCCATTTTGCAAAGTTGTTGGAAGATAATCAGAATTATAGTGCTTAACAGGTGGTTAAAGGTGACGCGTCCTCAAGGTAGGAAAAGGCTTCATCCTCTGAACGCCGTTGGCCTTGGGGAAGCCTGGCCCTTTAAGACAGCACCGCCCCAGCCTCCAGCGCGCGTCTCCCCGCCCGGCCCCGCCCCTCGGGTTTGGGGGCGGGACTTCCGAACCCGGAACTGACGGCCACGCGTAGCCGGCGCGGCCAATCGGCGTCCCGGAAGCAGCAGGCTTTAGGGGCAACTGAGCCAGTGAATGACAGCAGCGCCGCCCGCCGGGCGCACCCGCGGCCCCGCCGGTGTCCTCAGCCTGCTGTCAGCGTGCCCGTCAGGAAGGCTGTGGCGTGCCTTCGCGCCGCGCCTCCGCGCGTGTCTGTGGCCCAGCGGGCTCATCCCGCTCTCCCCGGCCCCCGCCCCGCTGTCCCTCCGCTGCTGGCGCCATGGGCAGCGAGCAGAGCGCGGAGGCCGAGAGCCGCCCCGGCGATCTGAACGCCTCAGGTCGGTGCCTCACGTCCCGCCCGGGCGCGGCTTGCCGAGCCGGCGGCTCCCCCTTGGGGGCCCACACTGTGCCCAACACGGAAAACGCGTGGCCTTTCGCCCCAGCCCTGGTCCCCTCATCCGGCTCCCTCACTAATCCTTAAAAGACCACCTCGTAAAAGAGACCTCCTTACAGGACTGGCCACTGACGCCCCAGATTTGGCTCACAGCGTGGACTGATCACACCCAGGACCTCTAAGATCATGCTGTCTGAAAAACGGGGTGTCGAGGTTCCTTTTCAGAAGGGACCTGTGAGCCCTGGGCGGTCACTCTCAATGTTTGGGTGCAAATGTTTCCAGAAACGGCTTTTCCTTTCAGGTGTCGGGTCCGTTTAATGAATGAATGAATTTATTTATTTTTAATAAGTTGGCCAGATGGCAGGCAGGCTCTAGTGTATCTTATGCTCACAGTCTTCAGATTTCTCTTAAGCGTTTGAGGTAGGAATTGGAAGGGTACTGTGCTGGACCTCTAGTGAGTACTCAATAAAGCAGCTGGTAATTGAAAACCATTTGGTCCTTTTTGTTGTTGTTACCCACTTCGGTAATTAACCTCTGAGGCTGACCTAGATAAGCTCAAGGTTTGCAAGCCTGATTAGTTAAGATCTCCGACCTAATGGCTCTCTACTTGGTAACATTTGCCACTCGGAAATGTGGAAGCTAACAGATGTAGGGAGGATTCATGCTGAAGGGCGTTCCTCAAGACCAGTTCCCTAAAGACCTGCAGTGGGGGTGGGGGAGAGCTTGCGTCTGCTGGCTTTGCTGTGTTTTGTTTCCTTGGAAGACCCAGAGTGTCATGTCTGATTATAACAAAACCGCAGTAATGGCTAATGGCTGTCTCTTAATTTCCTTGTCAGGCCAGAAGCACAGTTTAGGGGAAGTAGTAGTGTGGCATCCTTTAACACAGTTGCTCATCCGGGAACCAATGGCGTGGGCTTATTTCTGATAGAATTAGATTCCCTCCCATGCCAGGTGCTTTACATATGTTTATATATAGTATTTATAGCATTCCCATTTTTATACACATCTTTACCCATTTTATGCATAAATAGAGGCAGACTAGAAAGCTTTGAAGTCCCTCTTCCTTTGAGTCTGGGAAAAGGAGGAATCATGTAACTTGTAGCAGAAAAGACTTTTTGGTACTGCTTTTGTAAAATGTTAGATAAATTACAAAGCCAGGATAAATTTTTCTTGAAAAGCAATAAAAGTAGCAAAGGTCTGTCATTATCGTCGTCATCATCATCGTCATCAGTCGTCGTCTATTCCTCCCCCCCAGCAACCCCCCTCACAAACACACTCACACAGTTGTCAAGCATCAGGCAGGGCTAGCTTCCAGAAGGCAGACTAGTTCTGTGGTCTCTACCCTTAGACCAGACTGGTGGGCCTGAGTGTACCTATTGCATACTAGAGTATAAGACACTTTAGGGATGCATCCCTGTTCCAACCAGGAAATTATTTGGATAAAAGGATATCTTGTTCTAGAGAATCTTTGGTGGTTTGAACCTCTTCCCTCCCAAGAAACCTGAAGTTGACATGCCCCAGAAGCAGAGCTCCAATTTCCTGAATGTCACCTCTGCCTAAAGCAGTCTGTTGATGGTTTCTGCCCTTTATGCACTAATACTGCACTGAGGCTCCCTGGAGCCTTAGCAATAGGCTTTAATTGGGGGTTGGAACCTGAGGTTCCTGCCACTACAGGCTCTGTCCAAGATGACTGACATTGACAGACTAGGGAGCACCTTTGCATTCTGTGTCACTAAGAGCCTTGTACCAAGAGCCCAGAGACCTTCAGTGTCTTTCCTAAATCTCTTTCCAGGGTTGTTGACTTTGGGCAAATCCCAGACAGTTTTGTTCCTTTATTTGTAAACTATGAACAGTATATCAGGAGATCAGTACAATCAAAGAAGGAGACATTGAAAAAAATCTGCCTATGCTTTTGTGTGTTGAAAAATAAAATGCTTGGTTATGAAAGAAGTTCATACATGTTATATGTTTCTGTATGTTTGAGAGTTTTGCTATATATGTCTATGTCAAATCTTTGGAGGTTACATGTATAATACATGATATATATGTTATAGATACATATATATGTATGTATATAAAAGAAAATAGAAGTCCCTGGCTAAAGCTATAGCCCAATGGTAGGTCACTTGCCTAGTATATGTGAGGTTCTGGGTACAGTCCCTAGTACTACACACAAACACAAAGAAAAGAAAGAAAGAAAGAAAGAAAGAAAGAAAGAAAGAAAGAAAGAAA